GGTCGGTGACCTAACTTACGCTTCCTCAAAGCGCAAAGCTACGGCAGCCCCGCTGCAAATTGTGTTGCATGAACAAGGCATAAGAAAATGATTGTTTGTGTTTAAGGAACAAGGCATGGTGCGGTGCCTTACTGCACAAAAGTCTCATTCTAGCAATCTGCATCTCTTGAATAATAATCATCTCGTTAAAGTAAGAGAGCTACGAGAGAGTATAGCATGCAAATCTATTTGTCGCTTGCACATGTATGACGCGTATAAATCCTGTATTTGGAATACCACCAAACAATGTCCATCAAACGCGATAGCAATCATAATATCAGCTGATGATAAAAGCATTGTATTAGCTACTTGAAAGTTGTTAATGCCACAAACACTAGTTTTTACTCGTAGCGATGAACAAAAACAAAATTGTGCACATCATATTTTGGGGTCGTATTGTATTGAAGGGCAGTCTAATTGTAGTGTGTGCGAAGCTAATGCTCTTTGATGATTGGTCATTCATCCCTAACCAGTTGGCAAATCAAAAGCAGTCGTCTGCAAAAACTCGCCTAAATCACTATGTCGGTGCCCTTTTTAACGTAAATCGCCTTGACGTTATGTTGTTTAATGCACGTCCGTCGCGGTGCAATAACGGGACTCTTAAACATGACTGTATCACATTTTGACGCTAATAACAGTAAGAGGTTATGGAAAGCGGCACGCTAAGACGCTGCCTCGACTTGGCGAGGACATTAGCGGTCTCACAATCTAATCAACACTCAGACTGCTTCGTTGTATTACGTATGTAATAGCAGTACCGTGTATTCTGTGATTTGCTAATCATATACCCGACTTGCACAAATCTGCGGCATTTTTCACTAAATTTACCAGCGTTAACAAAATATATGTACCGCAATCCATATAGGTTATTATTCTGTCAAATCATGGTGGGTCAGAAATCAATTTGTGCTTGTTTTTGTCGCCAGAACTAGAAAAAATCGAAGGCAGATTCAGCACATGGTCCGACAAGAACATTATCATGACGTAAAGATTTCCCATCAAGCAACTTTCATGTTTTCATAAGCGAAACAGCAATCACTGGTCTTAAGATGCCTTTAACATGATACATGCAGACAATATGTTAAGAGAAAAGCATTTTTGGGACTATTTCGACTTATCCTGAAGCCAGTTTTGATTGTTTCATTGAATTTTACAGAATAGCAACGAAATTAGAAAACTCTACAGACTTGTATTGGTGAAAAAAAATATTAAGAATGTATCATAAATTAATTTAATGTTCGACAAAAATTATCGGCTGCTCAATTTTTGACACTTCCCGCTGGACAGACAGCGCATCACCAGAGTACAACCTATAGGCGCTCATTAAGTATATTTCAAGTATCCTGTAAAAGGCCATAGCTCGGCCACCATGGACGTGGGTACTCATGTCTGGATCAAGTCCAACGATCCGTTTGTCTGGAAAGCGGGCGAGGTGATCGACTCGCAGGATGCCAGCGGTCTCGTGCCAGTGCGGCTTCTCGACACGGGCATCACTGTCTATCGTACGTGCTTTACATCTAACTGAGTTGACAATGTAGCCTCTGTAGCTTGAACTGCACTGCTATATGTTCATTGGTGTTTGATCGCAACTCACACTTTAATGTACAAATAGGTCACCACTCGAGCCTAAACGACGAATTGTGTTTGCGCAACATGTCAACCAATTTTACTATGACATCAAGTCTCACAAGTCTTGAGCATCTGCACGAGCCAGCAGTTTTGCAAGCACTTCATGAGCGTTTTGACTATGATCAGATCTACACATCTATTGGGGACATTCTCGTGGCGCTAAACCCGTTCAAACCGCTCCCAAAATTGTATTCAGACATACAATTGAATGTGTACAAGCAAAACACGAAAGATCCTAGCAACATGGAGAAAAAATCCTTACCACCTCATGTATTTTCCATCGGTAGTAAAGCTTTTGGTGGACTATTAAAACCTGAGCGACGAAACCAAAGTATTCTAGTCAGTGGAGAGAGTGGAAGCGGCAAGACGGAGAGCACTAAGTTTCTAATGCAGTTTTTAACTAGTGTGGGGCGTGATTCAGGATGCACAGAGCATGATGAAAGTGATGCTGTGGAGATTGGCAGGAGAATCCTGCAGACAAATCCGATCCTGGAATCGTTTGGTAACGCCCAGACTATCAGGAATGACAACTCGAGTCGATTTGGCAAATTTATTAAGATTCAGTTTGGACAAAATAATGAAATTGTCGGTGCCCAGATCATGAGCTATTTGCTGGAAAAGGTGCGAGTGCTGCACCAGAATCCAGAGGAGCGCAGTTTTCATATTTTCTATGAGCTACTCGAAGGAGCTGACAAGACGTTATTGGACAAATTGGGACTCACAAAAGGAGGAACGTATGAACTGCTAAATTCGTACGGGCCAAATTTCGCACGGAAAAGAGCTGTGGTAGACAAGTATGCGCATTTGTACACAGAAACTATACGCGCATTTAAAGACACAGGAGTTGGTGAGCTGGAACAGCTCGATATTTTTAAAATTCTCGCAGCTTTGCTGCACCTGGGAAACGTCAATTTTATAGCTCAAGGCAAACAGGACGCTGCTGTCGTCACGGCGGCGTCAAGGTTTCACTTGGAAAAGTGTGCAGAGCTCATGGGTGTTGACGTCGATAAGCTGGCAACACTCTTAAGTAGCCGAGAGATTAAAGCCGGCATGGAAATTATGGTGCTTCAACACACTTCCGAGCAAGCCAAGGAGACTTGTCGCTCGTTAGCCAAAGCTATATATGGTCGCCTTTTCACGTGGCTAGTGCGTCGTCTGAGTGATGAGATTAATTATTTTGATTCGGCCATCTCAATCTCGGAAGAAGACGATGAGCTGGCTACGATTGGTATTCTGGATATTTTTGGATTCGAAAGTTTAAATCGCAATGGTTTTGAGCAACTGTGTATCAATTATGCGAACGAACGATTGCAAGCACAGTTCAACGAGTTTGTTTTTGTGCGAGAGCAGCAAGTGTATATGACAGAAGGAATTGACTGGACGACAATATCCTATTCAAGCAATGAAGCTTGCTTGGCTCTATTTGACGACAAAAGCAAGGGTCTCTTCTCGTTGTTGGATCAAGAGTGTCTGATGCCAAAGGGCTCGAATCAAGCTTTGTGTACAAAGTTTTATCGGTATCTTGGCGAACGAGGGTCTGCCGACTCGGCAGGTTTGTTGCGGCAGTCACAGGTTCGTCAGAGCAGTCTCCGTCGACTCAAGTCTTCCTTACGCCGTCATATTCATGGAGCTGAAGAGCACGACGAGTCAATTGATCAAGGCACCAATGCACATCCTTTTTCAGCGTCTAAATTAGAACGCGTGAATCATCAATTTGCAATTTTTCATTTTGCTGGTCGCGTGTGCTACAACGTCGAGCAATTTGTCGAAAAAAATACAGATTCGCTGCCGACCGACGCAAGCGATATACTGTCATCAGCTAGCAATGCAGTCGTGAGCGCGATTGGAACTGACGAGACTGAGAATCCTGATACTGATAGCGGAGTGGCTGGGCGGAGACGTTATTCCATGCTGCGCACGCCTAGTGTATCAGCAGAGTTCAAGTGTCAGCTAGACCGTCTCATCGCTCAGATAGGACGCACGGAAGCTCACTATGTTCGCTGTCTCAAGCCCAACGAGGTGAAGAAACCGGGCATATTCGATCGCGAAAGAATGGTAGAGCAAATGCGCTCAGTAGGTCTCTTAGAAGCTGTGCGCATCGCACGTCATGGGTACTCTGTTCGTCTTGCTCATGGTAGCTTTGTCGAGCAATTTTCAGAATTTAAAAGCTTCATAAGCTCACGAGATCGAGCTTCGGCGATGAGCACATCTGATTTGGCTCAAGCTTTAGTGACTGTCTTGATGAACAAGGTGCTGTCAGAAGATGGCGTTGAGCGAAAAACGGAAAGCTTCCACGATCTAACTCGTGAAGCTGACGGCACGCCACTCCAAAATAAGAGTCATTGTAAGGATGTACAAGTGGGCAAGACTCTGGTGTTCTGCAAGTCCAGAACATTCGATATATTTTGTCAATACCGCTTGGAGTTGCGAGTGCATTGCGCCATTGTGCTGCAAAAGCATTATCGTGGATACCGACGTCGAGCTGTTTATCGAGAGCTTCGTTGCTTCCTAATTCACATACAGGCAATTGCTCGAGGATTTATTGCCAGAGCTCAAGCGGCCAAATTGCGCCAGATCAAATGCGAAAGAGCTGCTGCTTGTATCCATGCGTGCTGGAGACGTTTTATAATACGACGTAATTTTCTCCAACTTCTCGAGCACAAGCGTCGATTAGACGCTGTGCTTGTAATTCAGACTCGCTTCAGGCAATTTGTGGCAAAGCGAAAACTTGCGAAAATGCTACAAATCAGAAAGGAAAATGCTGCTGCTCTTGTTATCCAAACAAATTATCGCCATTGGCTTGTAGAGCTTAAACTTGCTCGACTTCGAAGAAATCAGCTTGAGACGACCGCTGCTCTACACATCCAGCCACTTTGCAGACAATTGCTGGCAAGACGACAGCAAGACACGATGCAGCATGAGCCAGATACTGCTTATAGAATCCAAGAGAACAGCTGCCGATGGCTTGAGCAGGACAGCAACACTATCGCAAAGCTTGAACGTTTTCGCTTACGCATAGCGTTTCGCAAATTTCGCCGCGCATGTGAAGTAGCTAAATTCGCAGGTGAAATGGAAGCCGAGCCTTCTCCAAGTGACAACTCGCTGGCGAGCTGCAGAACTGACAAGTTCGTTGACCACCCGGTGACATTGTCAAGCTTGGAGCAGGAAGACAGCTACAGTACCAGAAGTGACCGAATGGAACCACCACTTCAAATCTCCGCTCCCTTCCACCGCCGCACTAGCAGTAAACAACGCAATCGGGTGAACAATCGAAATCGTACTCGAGAAGGTAGTAGTCACACGGACCAGCGCAATTTGCTGCTTGAAAATGAAATCCTGCGCCTGCAACAAATGCTTGTCGAACAACAATCTGGTCCATCAAATGGCCATATGCATCGGTCTTTTGCAAGTTCTCGTCCACCACGACGTGTTCCACTTGACTTTAGTCAATCCACTTGTGAAACACGCACAAATTCTAGCGGTTGGTATTCAGTGGACAGTGCTCCGTCTGAAGGAGAAGAAGGGGAAAATGACGCTGACGTATCCTTACTGCCGCCACGTCGTGCACGAAGTGTACTGCCTACGCAGGATGTCGATCATGTATCCAGGCTGTCGCAAAAAATAGAGGAATTGGACGCCAAGTGTAAGTTTCTGGAACAGCTCGTGGCTCGCAATACTTATGACGACGCCGCAAGAGAGTCGATTCAGTACACTCGAGGATCGCTTGATGGCAGAGAATGCTTTGCATTGGATGGATCACCATCATATGACAATCGTCCTACGAGTGAAACTGGTTCAGATGTGGACTCTATCATTTCTAACATGCAGAACCAGATAGACATGCTACGGCATTCGATTGCTGCGAGCGACCAAACGCATCAAATGTCTCGCAAAACTCATGCCATGTCCTTGTCATCCAGTACACGACCAACGCGATCGTCATCAATTGTTTCGTTGACATCGTACTCAAATTTAAGTACGACTGAAGCCCCGCGAAAATTGCCGTCACTCCCGTTGTCCGAGTCTCAGCTGTCAATTGGTGGTTCTTCTCACGGGAATGGTACTCGCACTTCGCTTGGATACCCTTCGCCGCCAACGTCTTCGAATGCATCGTCACTTTACCAAAGCCAGCAATATGCACCTGCCCACTTTGGTCGTAGCAGACCTCGCATCGTCAAATGGGCGCGATCCAGCAATTGTTACGAATGCGAAGAGCCATTTAATTTGTTTATGCGGCGTCATCACTGTCGTATGTGTGGGAATTCGTTTTGTCATGAACACTCGAGTCGACGTGTGTCGGTCTTTGGCATTGGATTTGATGATGAACCTGTTCGCGTCTGTGATAATTGTTTTGCCGAATATTATGTAGCGCTGCAGGAGCAGAGCACACCTCAGTATCCTTCTCAGCTTGGTTTGAGTACGGGTCCGCTTTATACATCATCGAGGCTTAGTGGTCTATAGGTAGATAATTCGTTTTAAACAAGTGAATGAAGTGAAAGTCGTAAGAGCTTTATATATATTTCCAAAATCGTCAGCCATTCATTAGTAGTGCCATCCGATTTTACACCGAAGGTTTCACCCTACCCATCTATTCAAGTCTCATTCATGACAAACGACGAGCTCAATTCCTCCATTGACAACATCGGTGGTCTCACCGTATTGTACATTTTGCACACAATTCTTTTGGATAACTACAGCGGGGCTGCCGAAGCTCTTTGCTTAGAGGAAGCTTGCAAAGGTCACAGACCCTACGCTCTATACTAGAACCAGTACGAGTGTAGCAGATTGCAATCCGCTACCTCCAAGAGTACCCGACACCTTAACCCAAGGCAAATGTACTCTTTCGTTCAAATTAAACTGTATTTATCTGTTTTATTTGCGACTAGCGAAATCCAAGAAATAGTAAAACCTTATTATTATTCATGACTACTGGCAGTCCCACCACGTAGTGGATTCTTGTTACGGTGTAGCTCCACCATCGTATAATTACACCGACTTGTGGACTCCACACCTTTGTACGATCACACCACTTTGGGTAAACCACCCTTCATACCACTGAACGTGTAACCCCGTCACACCCACCCATAAAAATACTCACAATTCATATTTAACTGTCGCCTCGTACGAGGCTCGCGTGTCTGAGACACCGTTACGTCCCTAGGACCTTTCTTACGCATTTTCTGATCAATTTGCCCTATGACTATGTTACGAAAAACATCCAGCCTCGCAGAAGCCGAGAAAGCCAGCGGGCAAAGCCCTACTTCTTCTTCTACCCGCGGTGCGTCTCCGGACAGTACGTCCGCGGCTTCATGGGAAGCGCATCCCTAGCCCTCGGCAATTGGGCGTCACACACCGCGCCCGCCACAGGCGACGGATTAGCTGCGTCTTGGAGCTCCCGTTGACGCCACCAGATGGTGACAAGCCATTTACCTCGTCGAGAATTAGGGGGAAGTCGACTTCAAGGCGGATACTCCTTTTCCAGGATAAGTAAGAAGAAGAGGGTGAGGTGCCCCAGAGGTGCGACGTGAGCCCTGTTCCAACCATGCGGACACCGTGTCCAATCCCCTATCTCTCGACTTCCGGGAAAAGTGATATTATTACCAACCGCCTCAACGAGGCACAGGAGCAGCACTTGGGCGCTTCCCACAAAACGGCTCTCATGCGCTCGTTTTCACGTTTGGTACTAGACCTTCGTGTGGAATTCGGCTTCCGCTCGGCGGATCTCGCTACTGAAGCAAAAGACGCAATCACTCGATCGTTTGGCCTCTATGATGTCGGACCACTGGCCACCACACAAGCTGATCTTGACCACTTAAGAGCTCTCCGAGCTCGCTTCTTGGTACTTCAAAAAATTCTTCTGGATATGTACCTCGCTCAGCTCCGAACTCAAAGAGGTGGCGCTTCTGTACCCGCAATGCGGATCACTCCTGTGGTCCATGCCCCTACGAAGATGTCGTCGAAGTATTTTTGTGCATACGCCCGGTGGGACCTAAACAATCGCGCCACAACTCGATTGAATGCTGCTGATGCATTTGACAGCCCGAAGGGGCATCACCAGCAACTCCCAGAGCATGCCGCTCGAAGTTCTCACCGCTGTCAGCAAAATATCACTCGCTCTCGTGAGCAATTGGTAATTCCCATCGACCAAGTCGAGTGCGCTGTACTTTGTACAGTCAACCATATTGTTCTGGAAAACATCCTTCCTAAGAATCGTTGTCTGTGCCAAAATGATGGCAGCATTTAGCTTATTGTAAGCGTGAACGATACGCCACTTGCCGTTCGGCTTTCGGACTCAAAACGTTGGTGTCGAAAGGGGAGACTTGCTCTCACGCACAATTCCTGCGTCGTGCTTCGCACGGAAAAATGCGTCAATGACGTCATACTGCTCCTTAGGCAGGGGTCATTGGCGTGTTAAGCCGTCTTTGGCTCCCGGAACCATATAATCTCATGACGTACAACTCGGTCCGGAGGTAGGACCGACGGAGGGTCGTTGGAGACGACGTCTTGAACTTTCTTTACCAAAGGATAGTACGGATCCGAGGGATCCTTCAGGATCAACGATCCACTACGTGCGTTCAGCACTTTCTTGGTGTCCTTCAGGACAGCTTCATCTAGAAGCGACGACGAGTTTGTCTCCTCGTTCGGTAGTATAATAACCACCTCGGCAAAATCGCCTGCCTCCAGAGCACCGCTTGACCTTTCGAAGGACATCTCGTCCAGCTCAAGAAGGGAATTCAACGCAGGATTAGCCTCAATGGTAACGTTACCGTCTTCGTCTTACGTCATACCGCTGACAAGGGTGTATAGCTGTGCGCTATCGTCAATAGTAGACACACTCTGGGTCAGGTTCGACGCCCTGCATCTCGCATGGGCCATACGGCTTCGCCGTGTCCTCTCTATAAATATTCTACGTCTTTCCCACTCGCTGCTCCATTGGTGTCATGTTGTTATCAATATCATCCGACGAAGAGGTGCTATTTACGCAAACTTTGTCGAGTGGAAAGGTGCCACTCCTTGCGCATCAGAAGGGCCTTGCCCAAGATGCCTCAGACCTCGTCCGACCATGCATCCCAGATAGATTGTCTAGCTGAATGCGTTAATCGCGCAATCGGGGTATCCGCCAAAACATTTGTGCAGGGCGACCGCGATGCTGAAATGATACGTTTTCACTCAAAGAGCTTGCGTTAAACAACAACAACACCTTTTTAGTATACTCGTTCCTGACACCACCGCAAAGTGGCAACATTCTGAATGGGAAAGTAGTTGTAGATAAGGATCAACTCGCTTCCCGGCGGCATTTTATTGCGAGATTGCGAATTATTTCTCGGCAGGATTGGGTTCTCGAAAGCTACATGCAGATATTAGAAGCAGACAAAACACCTCTGAATCCGTAGCGGGTAGAAAGGTTCAGCTGAATGCAGCTATTCTACCTACAACGCAGGTTTTGCAGTCTACAAGATAAAAATGTACCTCTACTAAATTGAGCCCTTCTTCTAGGTCGCAGCTAAAACCATATTGAGTTCGACTCAAACGCTTATTGAAGAAAATTCATCTTTTCTTTTACGTACGATTCTGGAGTCGTGCAACGTCCCTTTTCGATATGTAGCGCTTTTCCAAGACGAATCAACGTATCAACCGACTTTGCTCAGCTATAATTTACCCTAGGAGGCTATCCAATTTGTGCCGCTTGAGTTGCCTCAGATCAATCCATCAAATTGCCAGGACCCGCGAGTGCATCTAAAAAATCGGAAGCACACTGAGAATCTTAGAAACAGTCGACGTATAGACACAGCATAATCGTCTCAAGTACAACGCTAACAGGATACTTTGACTACGCGGAAATATTTAGTTCTTGTCCCTCTCGGGTGAAGTATCGTAAAGTAACGCAGTCTCTCACAGTTGGCATGCAGCAACTGCTTTGTAACGTGAGCAGTGCTCAGGTGCATCACTGGGGCCACGCCCTCGATGACTCGGCCCTTGGCCGACCATGCCGCTCTTGGTAGGTAGCAACTGCTTTGATACTTGAGCAGTGCTTAGTGAATTACGTGCCACTTCACGTTCAGCCCGCGAGCCATGCTTGGGGCTCTTGTCCAATACATCTTCGGATTCTTCGATATCCAGCACATTGACGGTCCCGCGCCAACAGTGCTGCTACATCCTAGCAGAGGTGGTTCATGACTCACCAAAACTCCACCAAGTAACGTGCGCGTAGCGCCCAAGGTCTCCGACCTCAGATCAATCCAGGGCTCATGGTGTTCCAACCATGCCATACCAAAGATAAGGTCATTTCTTGCATCAAGTCTAAGGTTAAGCAGCGCTTTACGCTATTCAAGTCAGGAAATTTGACACCGAGATCCACAGACATCCTTTGTTCAGTGACACAAGTCTCCGTCGCTAAGCAAACAGGGACGGTGTCACTCAACCGCGATTCCAGTGCCTCAGCATACAGCTGGCTTCCTTCAATCACGGATCGTCGAGCATAATTGTCCGATGCCCCTGAGTCAATAATCATCTTCAATGGCTTCTCAAAATCCTTCACGGTCACTTCTACGACCACAAGCCTGTCTTACATACACGATCCGTGCTCAAGACCACGTAGCTCTTCGAGGTTGGGACCTGCTGCCCTCGACATCTCTGGGGCTCAACAGAGCTTAGTTCCCCCCCTGTTGGGTAATTTTTGAGCGACACCCCTTTTTAGGAGTCGTGTAAGCCATGTCAAGCACGTGCTGAAGGGTTTTATTCATTACCCTGCTCTTCCCGGCCCGGGGATTGAAATCTGGACCCCTCCTCCTTGTTGGGAGCCTCGCGCCTACTGGATGTTGTCGTTTCCCCGCGACAAACCAGACTGGTCAGAAGCGATACATCGGTTCGACGAACTTTTGCGCGCCTTGCGCAGGGGACAACCAGTTCGACGGGTGTCGACACAGACAAAACACCTTCGGGTGTCTTAACGCTGCTCGGCAGCTCAGAGCTCTATCTCCTCGTCTTCAGCATAGCTGAGATGCATTGGCTTAGGCCCGCTCGACGAGCTGCTGGAGTGTGAACTCCAATTAAGTCGTACCGAGTTGAAGTTGGATCTGGCATTTAATGCCACGTTCACCGCTTCATCAAATGAGACGGATGCACACGGAAGACTTTCATTCTAATCGCGCCAGTGCGAAGGCCCTCCATAACGACGGTCACTGCGACCACCTCGGGGAGACGACCAGCTGCCATCCCGGCAATGAGAGTGCGCAACTGTTGGGCAAAGTACACCATTATTTTTCTTGCCCTGTCAGGCGGCAAGGATTTGCGATCGCACACGATATTCCTGGTAAGGCGAGGAGAACAATCGTAAAATGCAGCTTCCGCTCCGTCGAGGAGAGAAACATCGTATCAACCGAAGTACAGCACGTCAGTGCCCATTCATGCGCTCGACAACCGAGCTTCGAGATAGCTAGCGGCACGCACTGTTGCTCGGTCTCGAACATGGCGGACGCTATAGCCATCTTGGCCTCTCTTACTCAGAGCAGAAGATTCTTTCCATCCTTACCCTCAAAGTCTAAACGCTCACCATGAGCGGCCTGGGTTGGTAGGAGTCATCCGTCGTCGACGGTGGCTTCATGGACGTAGTCGACGCCGACAGCTTCTGCTGTATGTGATCTAGCAAAGCATTTTTTATAGCTCGAAAACGCCTCTAGGTGCCGTTCATCGCTTCGGTAATTTTTGAAAAAAGGTGTTTCACGCCCCCAGGGCCCAGCAGGGACATCAGATTGTTTAGCCCGTCCTGCATGCCCTGGGGCAAATAGTAGTTTTTCTCCGTCCTTCACAGATATCGATATTGACTTCATGAGCTACCAAGTGCAGCGGAGCTGCCGTAGCTCTTTTGCTTACAAGAAGCTAAGCTAAGATCATTGACGTTACCTTCTTTACAAGAACCAGTACGGGTGTAGCGGATCGCTATCGGCTACCTCCAAGAGTTCTTAAAACCTTAACCAAGGTAAAGACGCTCTACTGTTCAAAATTGACACTGTATTTAATCATTTGGTTGCGACGTAGCCGCCAATAACTTAAACCTTAGGTTTTCCTAGTTAATATAGTAAAACCTGATTTATTTAATAATGCCTAATTATTATTGTAATATGCATTGCTACTGGCAATCCTGCCACGTGGTGGCTTCGTGTTACGGTGTAGCCATTTCATTGTGTAATTACACCAAATTGTGTAATCCACACCATGCCATCATTTTTGACCCGCCCTCTGCACAAGGGTACGTGAAACCCCGTTTCAGACTGCCAACAAACGGAGGGTACCGGTAAACCGGCCAGCGGCGCCGTCGCAATTGATGAGAAGCTCAACCTCTCACGCGTTTCACACGTGCACACAGATGAGATCGTCCATTTGAACAATTTAGTCTACCTGTAGTGGCAACTCACAGAGCTGTACGTCTTCTCATGACCGAGATGACCACTGACTGGAGTGTCGTGAGCCTAATAGAGGATACGGTATCTCAAGTTCTCATCGTGAGAAGCTATGATCGTGGCGTATCCGTCAAATTGATGCTATAATACAGACACCCAGTACTCAACGAATATCGGTGTAACCGTGCGCGCAATTGTGCCGACAATTTCTTGTCCGAGTTTCCAAGCTCCTTGCTCCCGAGAGCACAAATCTTCACCCGCGTATGCGGCGCGAATCACATTCGCCGCTGACGACGTCACAGTCGTGACATGGGCAAGCTCATAATCCGGTTGCGTGACAACGCATCAGCCAAAGCATTTTGCTTTCCTGGCTTCTACTTCATCTCCGAGTTATCGTTCTGAGTAGAAGATAAGCCACCTGGACATACTCTGCGAGAGGTGAGGCGACTGAGTTGCAGTGCGTAGTGACGCATCATCTGTGTAGATCACAAACGGCTAGGAGTTAAGTAGTTGCAGCCTGAACTTGACAAGTGCATACTTCATCGCGAGTAATTCCTTGTCGTGAATTGGGTTGCTCTTCTCCGCAACCTTAAGCTGGCGAGATTCGAACGCGATCGCTCCTCGGTGTCTACTTGCAGCAGTGCACAGCCAATGCAAAATCCAAAGCGTTACAGACGTCATTATAAAGAAAGATCGGGGTCTGGCAACGTTAGTATTGATGCATTAAGGAAGCCGTTTTTGAAGCCTTCTGATGTTCGGTGACGCTAACACCATCCCGCTTCCATCTTAAGGAGATTCGACAATGGCCGTGTCATTTTTGCATAATTCGCGCTATACTTGTGCAAGTAGTTGGCAAGGCCAAGCCACTTGCGCAAGTTCTCTTGGTTCTTTGGAACCAGCAAGTCCACAATGGCCTTGACCTTGGCGGAATCTGGTCGAAGGCCACGCGGCCCAATTAACACCCTACAAACGAATTTCTTCCGCGCCGAAAATGCACTTATCTGGATTAGCATACAGCTTATTCGTGCGCGTGCACTTGAGCACCGCTCTCAAATAGACGATAAGGTTTTTCTCTTCTGTCCTTCCGGGCCCGCACGACTGTGGAAGAAGATGTCGCCGAAGAATGTTTGTGCATATGCTCGGTGGACCCTGTAAAATTGCGTCACAAGGCGACAAAATGTTACTGGTGTATTTGACGGCCCTTGGGGCATCACCAGCCACTCCCAGAGCATACCGCTCGGAGTACTCACCGCTGTCAGCGGGACATCACTCGCTTTCGCGGGTAATTGGTAAGTCCCATCGACCAAGTCGAGTGCGCTGTACGTTGCACAGCCAACCGTATTGTTCTGTAAAACTTCCTTCCTGCGAATCGGCATCTGTGCCGAAATGGTGGCAGTATTTAGTTTATTGTAAGCGTGAGCGATACGCCACTTGCCGTTCGGCTTCTTGACACAAAACGTGGGTGTCGGATGAAGGACTGGCTTTCACGCACCATTCCTGCGTCGTGGTTCGCACGGTAAAGGACGTCAATGACGTCACACTGCTCTTTGAGCAGGGGCTATTGACATGTTAATTTCCGGAACCAGGTCGATCTCATGACGCACACTTTGTTCGGAGGTAGGACAGACGGCGGGTCTTTGGTGACGACGTCTTGGAATTCCATTACCAAAGGATAGTAGGATCCGAGGGATCCCTCAGGATCGACAATCTATATCGTGCATTTTGCACCCTATTGGTGTCCTGATGGACAGCTTCATCCAGAAGCGACGACGAGTTGATCTCCTTTCACGAATCATATAATGACCATTTCGGCTAAGTTGTCTGCCTTCGAGGCACCACCAAACTCTTCGAAGAACATCCTGTCCAGCTCAAGAAGAGAATCCTTTGACGAGAATTGCCTCGAGGGAGACGTCGCCACCCCTCCCCCCGTCATACCTTTGACGAGGGTGTATAGCTGAGCGCTATCGTCAACGGTAGACTCATCCAGGGTCAGGGTCGACGCCTGGCGTCTTGCAGCTAGTATACGGCGTCACCATTGCCTCTCCACAGAGGTTCTACGTCCCGTCGAGACCAGCGGGAACACACATTCAGTGTCGTCCAGTCTTAGCCCCACTTCCTGCTCCATCGGAACCCAGATGTTATTAAAATCTTCCGATGAAGAGCTGCTAGGCCCCGCAATTTTCGTCCAGTGGATAGCGTGCCACTCCACGCGCACCTGAAGAGCCTTGCCCAAGATACTACGAACTTCGTCCGACCATGCCACTCGTGGCATGCAGCAACTGCTTCGTAAGGTGAGCAGTGCTCAGTGGATTGCGTGCCACTCCGCGTGCAGCATTGGGGCCTCACTCATGATGTATCGGCCCTTGGCCAACCATGCCACGAATGGCATGCAGCGACTTATCCGATACCTGAGCAACGCTCAGTGGATTACGTGCCACTCCACGTTCAGACCGCGAGCCATGCTCGGGGCTCATGTCCGATACACCTCCAGTGTTTGACAACTTCGAAACTCCGATCTCCAGCAAGTTGACCGTCCCGGTCCAATATCCACGCCAATAGCGATTTTGCCTCCTAGCAAAGGTGGTTTCTTGACTCACCAAAGCCCCACAAGGAGACGTGCGCGTAGCGCCCAATGTCTTCGACCTCCAGTCGATCTATGGCTCATGGTGTTCCAATCATGTCATACCACAAATAAGTCATATTTTGAATCCAAGTCTCAAACTAAGCAGTGTTCCACGCTATCGAAGTCAAGACACCGAAGTCCACAGGGGACCTTCGGTACAGTGACACAAATCCCCGTCGCTAAGCAAACATAGGGTTATTGTCACATTTACGTACGCTACACAGCATATAAGTCATCGCGACGCATTATTTACTGATCACCGACGTTCTCTGTGGGTCCTTTTCTTCTTTCTAGGTGACAAACACTCCCAAGTCCTTTTTCTCATGGTACCACCACCGCCTACACCGTGTCAACCTTCAGTCCCTTCTATTCGTGGCTCATCGTGGTGCCAACCGTCGCCTGTCCAGACTCCCGACTGCACAACACGTACACTTGCTTTCGACTCGGTAGCTTCCAGTAAAGCAGACGAAGTCAGTGCTCGGAATAAAAAACGCCGTAGGAGAGTAGGCGAAAGCGCAGTATTCACTTCAGCGCGAAGGCCACTTGGAACGGAACAGGAGGAAGATCAGGACGAGAACGACGAGATCAAAGACACAGAACAGATGTGGACGTACAAAAGCGAAGGTGATGATTTACGACCTGCTACTTCTTTGAAAGAACAAGTTGATACCATTCAGCAACCAACGAAACCTCCGCTGAGAAAGCATAAGACAGTGGCAAGTGTCCAAAAACATGCCAAGATGGACAGAAGACAAATGACAGTAGACAGACTGCGGCATCTCGTGAAAGCATGTAGTGCGCAACATCATGTGGTCTCTGCGCTCTTTTATGCGGACAAATTAGTGACGATGTCACCTAAAGATGGGAACGACGTGTTGCTCTATGCTAACGCATGCTACTTGAACCACCAGTTTCACCGAGCAATTCATGCCATTAAGAAGGCAAAATTGGCAGAAATAAAGGGTTTCAAGGAAAATTTAGAAGTACCGAAGTACATGATGCTAAGAGCTTGCTTATTACTAGGCAAGTGTATGCTAGCAATTAAACAAAAAGAAGAGTGTTTAGAAGTACTTGGAACGGTGCTACCCGAGAGAGAACAGGAAGTGGTATTGCTTGCGAAGAAGGTCAATCTAGGAAATGAAAGCGACGATAATGCTGACGGAATTAATGTGGTGTCTTCGCTCGCATTGCTGATGGGTGAGACATATGAAGCCTTTGGCAATCGAGAAAATGCAACACTTTATTATCGCATCGCACTGCGCTGCGACGTGCACTGTTCCGAAGCGTTTTTTCATCTTTTTGACAAATATATGCTTTCAACAAGTGAAGAAAAGGAACTTATGACGTCTCTTGATTTCTCGGCGGATGAAATGCAGCTACTAGAGTTGTTGTATCAACCCCACGTAGGCAAGGTTGGCACAAACTGTTATTTATCAGATTCTATGCTCAGCATTGACACGCGCTATGGTGACTAGTATGATACAATGCAGTCAGTTGCAGAAAGATTTGCTGAAGTGGAGGACAATTTTGGTTTAAAAAACAATTTAGAGCTGGTACTAGAGCTGGTTTGGACTGATCAAAATTTGGTCGTAACACTGACGTAGATATGATGCACATGCAGAAGGTGACACGAGCAGAGACGTTTTATTATCAGCACGATATCCAGCAGGCGTACGAGATATGCGAAAGGTACTTATATTGCTCGCTTTACCCTTTGTTACCTTGTCTATTTCTCAGCTAGTATTCTCATACGTACTGTACACCTGCAATAGTATTCGTAAGCAAGACCCATTCAATTTTCGTGTGGTCACAGTGTACGTGGGTACGCTAGTAGAGCTTGGAAAAAGCCGAGAGCTTTATCAGTACGCTCACCAATTGGTACCAAGTTCATCTGTAATGCTTACCCCGACCGTGTAAATCTTACTTATTTTAAACTATTCGTTGTAGGTTGATGTGTATTCAACAAAAGCTTCAGCCTGGTATACTGTGGGGTGTTATTACTTATTAATCAAAAAGTTCGAGGCTGCGCAACGATATTTCCAGTAAGTTAGCTTGACGACAATCAAATTGACAGTGCCAAACATTTGATTAATAAAATGTCTGCTTTGCAGCAAAGCAACATCTTTAGAGCCAAGTTATGCGCCCGCATGGATTGGATTTGGAAATTCTTTTGCAGCGCAGGATGAAAGTGACCAGGCCATGTCGTCATACCGTACAGCCTCCAGTCTCTTTCCTGGATCTCATTTGCCGCCTCTGTATATCGGCATGGAGTATCTTCGTACAAATAACTTAATCCAGGCTCAAAATTTTATTCGCCAGGCAAGCACAATATGCCCCAATGACCCATTGATATACAATGAATTAGGCAGCATATACTACAAGCAAAAAGATTATCTGAAAGCGATCGAGCTATTTCTCAAGGCTCTTCAGCTCTGCAATGGTCTCCCAGAGGTAAGCATTTGGGCTACGTCAAGTAAGAGTTAATTCTTGATTTGTCACTCTCTTCAGCGACTCATGGAGGCGTGGGAGCCCACTCTTTATAATCTTGGATACTCGTACCGCAAATTACGGTGCGTTCAGCATTCCAATGTTGACTTACAACGGGGGCTAATTGTCCTGTATGGGATGATAGAAAATTTGATTCGGCTATTTATTATTTCGACAGTGCACTTCGATTGTCACCGCAGAACGTACGTTTATTTTAGCCTCGGTCTTTGAGTTCTAGTGTACTTAATACTCTATTTAGGCTTCAGTCCTTGCTGCTCTTGGATTTACATATCACATGAAAGGCAATACGGAGCAAGCGATTGAGTATTATCATGCGGTAAGATCCTCTATGACCTCGTACCCTTTTCGCGTGACTGATGAATTTTAATGGTGAAGGCACTCGCATTTTCTCCCGAAGATACTCTAGCGGGATCAATGATAACTGTTGCGTTTGAAGAATCTCTCTCATGCGGACCTGGTTCATTTCCCGAACTCACAGCACCTCCTTCCAAAAATGCACCAAAGACAAGTGGCCTCACTCCTCTTAGAGCTCGTCGTGTGGCTGGAAATGACAGCAAGACACATATACGTGGTCTGAATCAGTCTTATAGCAGTATCGAACGCAGCAGATTATCCCTTGCGTGCTCAAGTCTGGATTTTTCTGATGACAGTTCAATGATGAATGTGGACGAAGAGTGAATGCATCTAAGCGAACTCCTTGTCTTGTAAGAAGTCAAAGTCGATGCTGACATTTGTACCCCGATCGCTAAGCCCAATATTGCTCTCCAGTGATATTGTTGTAGTAATAAGCTGCACCAGTGTACTGATCGTAAAATTTCTCCCATGGATCGGATGGGACTGCTTCTCCGACATTTGCGATCTCGGTTGGTTGTCCTAATACCGGGGCTTGAGAATATTGATGAGCCATGCTTGAATGACCAAATCCCATCACTGGCGTTCCGTACATCATCGCTTGACCGTAAGCCAACGCTGCTATAGTCTGATATGCATAATTAGCTGCAGCTTCTGCTGCATAGTTTGGCTGCATCTGCCCACGTGCCGCGGTGTTAAAGAAAGCACCATTGTTCTGCTCGTAGTAAGGGTACTGGCCGTGCTGATCGTAGTAGCCGTACTCGTCTTCATAACTCTTGGCTGTGCTATCTGCATTACGGCTTCCATTAGCGTCTTCAGAGCTCGTGACATCATTTGTATATTCAGCGACTGCGTTCTGCTCGCGCGTATCTCTCTCCGTCGCCTCCATGTCATTGTCCTTCGCATTTGCAGATAGTGTTGATGATGGCCGAGTCCAGCTTGCTTCTTGTGTTCGGATATTGTAGAAATACGACGCTTGCGCATTCTCGTCCCAATACTCGATCCATTCATCAGCTTTTGTCTCATCCAAATCTTCACTAGCTTTAAGCTCGCTGTCATTTGCATCAAAAATCGCATCAGCCTCTTTAGCTTCAGCTGCTTTAATTGTCTCTTGCATTGACTTTGCGCGGTCTTCACGTCTTTTGTTGATTCTGTGCTGAATGTCTTTCACGCGCTTTCGTGCCAAAAAGCGTCTAGCACATTTCTGTATTTTTCTCGTCGACGTGTTAATCAGAGCAATCTGCTCCTTTTCCTTTCTTTCACGTTCACGCATTTGAACTTCAAGCTCTTTCATCTCCTGTTCTCGAACGCGAGCCTCTGTATCCATTGCATGCTTTTTCTTCGCTAGGGCCGATTCCGACTGCTGCTCCGCTCTTAGTCTCAAGGGCTGCTCCTCACCACGCATGCTAGTTTGGGCTGTCAGTTGAATCTTTTGCAGCTTCTCAATCCGCTTTTTCGCTACGTATTTCAAGCAAACTCCTTGCATTTTCATCTGTGCTCGACCTTTCTGTATCTCTAATGCATCTTGCTTTATATGCTCGGCCTCCTGCCGCACATCTTCTCTTTGTGTCACCAGCATCGTCGAGAAATTTGATGTTGCCACCTCATTCTTTTGGGTATGCGAAGCAGTCTCCCTGTCTTGTTGTGCCTGCTTGCCGGGATCTGTTTTCTCAGACAAACGTTGCTGGGTTAACTCAGAACAAGCGTCAATTTCGCGCTGTGGCATCAACGTCTCCGAAGGGAGACGTGCTAATTCCTGAGCCACCTCTTTAGGACGAGAGTCATCTAATTCGCGTCGTTGAGCAAGCTCATTCCGTAGTCTTGCGGCTTCGTTACTAGCACTATTTGCATGAGCAAGCAACTGGGTCTTACGCTTCCCAATGTCTTCCTCTTGGTCCTTCCGCAGTTTCTCAATTTCCTTTTGAGCCTTCCCGAATGCCATCATCGAGACTCGCTGATCAAACTCTCGACGTCGCTGCAGCAGCAAGTATCGAGCCACAGCACACCGGTAAGCACATTGAATAACAATTGCTCCATGCTTTTGCTTGATCCGAAGCTTTTCAAGCTGTTTATGCCGTTCTTTGATCAAGAAATATTGACACCGCGCAAGGTACCGTCGAGCACAGCTTTGAATCTTAATTGCGGCGCGCGTCTTAGTTTCAAGAATCAAGCGCTCAAGTGCAAGACGCGCATTTTCTCGGTGTTGTTGTCGAAGCGCCTGCACCGATTTCCGAGCTTGTTTTCCGCGCAACACCTTCTGAATCCGAAGAACTGCGTCCACTTGCTGCAATGCGAGTCTTCTCCGTTCTTGTTCAAGTCGAAAGCGTTCTTTCCGAGCAAGTTTTCCTCTCGCAGCGACTTGAATACGCTTTGCTGCCTCGTTCTCCTTATGTCGTTGAGATATCCGCGCTTGCAGTCGAAGATGATATGCCAAGCGACCATGATACCCACGCCAAAAGGCCTGGATTTTCAAAGCGCTTCTGTTCACAAGAATCAAATGCAACATTTTCAGCCTTTCAGATCGAGCATGCTGTGCGCAACGACGAGCAACGTATCCACGGTAATGTGACTGGATAGTCACAGCACTGATCAATCGTTGATAATCTTTCAACTTCAGAGTCACCTCTCGCCATTGCTTGTCCAGCAGATAGTACCTCCGCGTAATATAACAACGTCCACGCGTCTGGATTTGAATAGCTGCAGTATATTTACATATTTGTCTCTCTTGAAATCGTCTTTCGGCTCTCAAACTGTGCACTCGACGGCGAGACTGACATACTCGAAAGAAACACTGGATAGTCAGGGCAGCACAAATTTGCTTTCTAATGTTGCGTACATGGCAACGTGCCAAAAAGCCCTTTACATACATTTGAAGTAATTGTGCACTACGTCTTTGCTTTCGGTAAGCTATTCGACGTCTGCGCTCCCGCCGTGCAAGATGACCACGGATACAACACTGAATCACAATAGCGCTTTCATTTTTAATTTTGATAAGCTGAATTACACGCAGAAGCTCACGTTGCTGAAAATTTCTGAACGTACGCTGGATACGACAAGCTGCGAGGGTTTCACGTTGTGCTTTAAAAAGTGCTCGAGCGAGTACTTTACCACTATAACCGCGGTAGCAACGCTGCAACAGGCATGCAGCTTCGTTCTCAATCATTGACCGCCGCATTTGACTCACCAATGACCTTGCTAAGTGACCTCGAACAAATGCCTGAAGGTGCAAAATTGCGACTTCTTGTTTAAGTTGATGCCGCAAAACACAAGCAAAACTTCCACGTACGACACGCTGAATTTCTATAGCCGCAGAGTCCTGCTCGTTATAAGCATCAATGATACACATAGTCTTCCAACAAGCAAACTTCTGTCGTGTAACTTTTCGTCTCCACCTATTCATGATCGTCGTCATTTTTTGACTGCCTTTGCACTTGAGAAATTTGTTGGCTTTAACCTTGTTGCGTTCGAACATAAGAAATGCATGCCATTTACGAAACCCTCGAGAGAGCTGTTGTGAATGCAGTCGCACAAAAAGTTGGTGCATCTTTTCCATCCCCCACCGGTGGCAGAAAATCTGGGCCTTTATAGACCGTACTGGACAATGCTGCTGGACCCAATGCAATCCCTCGCGGACCTTGGAGTTAAGCTCTTGGATGCCAAGTTCGGATAAGGCAAGTTCTCGTCGCAAGTCACTCAAATCTACTTTTGATCCTGGGCGAAGACATGACGGCGTTGAGCGAGCAGCGACAAGTGCTCGATTTTGGTGCGGTCGATGACGTTTGGTATGTCGAAGAGCGAGCTTTAAAGGAGGCAATTGGTGCCCAATAGAAGTTGCCATTTCCGGGCCAGAATTTGCAGCTGTAGTATTTGAGCTTAGAGGTCCGCTGTTTGTATTTCCTATCTGATTAGCTACTTGAAGAAGTCGCTTTCGAGCACGCATGAAAGCAATGAACTCTTGAAAATTGATTTCACCGTCATGGTCCGTATCGGCTTGTTGAATGACTGAGGTGAGCTCTGCATCGTCCATGTCTTCACCCGAGGCCAGAAGTAGCTGACGCAACTCAACAGGCGATATTGAGCCGCTATTATCGACGTCAAATTCTTGAAATTCGTCGTAAAATCGATCTGTTAGCGATCCCTCGTCCTCTGACGCCAAGCTGGGCTGCGCGTTACTTCCAAATGCTGCATCTAAGTGTTCGTACTCTTCAAGAGATAGATTTAAATGCATTGCAATCATTTCTTTTTGGCGCTTCTCGTCATCCAAGTCCTCAGACAATGTCACCGGTAGTTCACTGATAATTTGGCCATCAGAGTCGCAATTGAGCGTGGAAAACCTGCCTTTTCTCCGTCGCGTATTAAAGCGATGTGTGCCTTTCGAGTAAAGCTTTTTCTTTACCTTGACCTTCTTCCGAACATTCTTGGTCGTCGGTGAGAAATGATCACCAATATCGCTATCGAGTAACTCTTGCGTAGATGGCCGTACGATGGCAGAATCGAGACGTAAACCTTTTCGACGAACTTTTTGCATTGATACAAAACCAACTTTTTGTCGTCGATTTCGATCCCGATGCTTTTTGCTACTCAGATGATCAGTATTAGATGTCGCTAGCGTTGTTGATGAAGCAAAGTGGTCTCGACTGGATGGTCCATTATCTCCGAAAGAGTTATTGTGAAGTTTTTTGCTGCTTTTTAAGTGATGCCGACCATCGGACTGGGGCAGTAAACTCTTCAAACTGTCAAGATCTAAGTAAAAAAGCGGTGTATTACCTTTTGGCAGCGAAAGACTGGGCAGAGATGGTGGTAGTACAACAAGAGGTCGGGTATTTATGCTCTGAAACAACCATGGCTCATTATGTGATATGTCTTGAGGAGAAATTCGTCGTCGCCGATAAACAGCATTTTTTGTCTTGGTACTGGAAAATAAATGTGATGGTGAAAGTGAAGACGGTGGTGTTGTGCGGCTCCAACGATGATCTTCATCATGATTGTTGTTAGTACCCAACATCGTCACTCTCTTTTCTGTCAAATGGACCGTGACTATTTGCGTCGTACCTATATTGAAATACCATTATAGAATCATTCCTACTTTGGAGTATGGTTGTTATTTTGTCTACATATTTTACCTCACCTACTCGGCACCTGGACGAAGTACCTTCGTTGGTCGCACTGCTGCAGACGTCGAGCCCTTCAGCACAGCGTATTTGCGCTTTCGCATTTGCTTCGATTGACGTTTCTGCTCATTCTTCTGAATCCGCCGCTGAGCAGCCCGTTGCGGATTAGACACTGCTTCAGTTTGAAGCTGCAACTTTCGCACAGCACGGCGTGCTGCCATCTTTCGTTGTACGAGTGAGTATGCCTCCAAGAACGATTTAGCTCCCAATTTTTTCTCGAGAAGATGCATCACTTCTTGAGCCAAAAGCGCGCTCTCAGGTGGAGCTACTGGCTGTGGTGTGGGGCCGCTTCTCCGCTTCTTATGTCGAGTTTGTTCTCTTTGAAGTATTGCTTGCTCCTGCTGAGCCCGAAGCATGTCTAATGTACTGGTTGCGCGATACAGTGGGTTTATTATCTGCAAGACATACCTTTGGGCAAACGTAGCGTCGTGATTGTGTAGCAGAGCAGCAAACAGCTTAAACACTATCTTCTGAACCTCGTTTGTACAATTTGAATCACGGGCCGAAAATGACAGCCGGGTGAGCAGCCACACCATAGGTGTCGATGATTTTTTCTGCTCGTCACTCTTTTTCTGGCTTTCTCGCAGTTGCGTTTCAGCATTTTGTTTCTCACCAGTCGTCTTATCACCATCATCAATATTGTTAGCTGTAAATTCGCCATCAACAAGTTCATTGACATTGTTTAGAGCCGCAACAGCCGCAGCAGTCACGTCTTGTGGAATATTTGTAATCTCAAGCGCCTCAGCCAGAAACAGCAATGCAGTAATTATCTCGTTGACCAGCTCCTCGTTAAGTGACGATGCTTCTAGGAGTTTGCAAAGTGAACTTGCCCAAGTAAATAGACGTCCGGGACGCTGTAGATACAGTGCTCCGTTTTGCAGACGCTGGAGATCATCCTTCGACAAGCGCTTGACAGGAACCGCATATCCAAGCGTACTACTTTGGCGTCGACGTAGATACGACGTTAGTAAACGTGTAATGCTAAGACGCACCCACGCATGAGGGTACTGCAGCAATGGCAGCACAACAGCATCCAGAAAATTCTCTGACGGCTTCGCTGTTTCGAGCCATAGCTCATACGGCCCAGCAAGATGCTCACTGAACGCAATAAGTGTCACGCAAACGTGATAAGTCGGCTGCCATCGCACCTGATTACTTTCTTTCACGGTTTGAAGCTCACGCTGAAGACGCTCAAGCGCTGAACGAGCAGCATGCAACACTTGAAAGGCACTTCGCTCAAAAAATTCGGGTCGGGTCTCCAGGACAAGTGTCGTAACCTGCGCTGCAGCTCCTAGCAGTTTCACGGCTTCAGCGCCATCCGAGTTCGAAGCTTGCTTCCACCACTTCCCGACCAACATAATGCTCTCGTTCAATTCCTTGTTACCTAGCCGGCGCACTAAAGTAGTAAGAGCAGTACGTGCGAGATCTCGGCACTCGGAAGTCTCATCGTTGGCCAGACGCAACACTAGTGGTAAGAAAAAATACTGCGAACGCTCGTTAACTAGATCTTTTGGAATCTTCACTAATAACGAACGTATAGCCTCAAGCACAGCAGAACGCCCGGAGGTATGTCCGTAATTTAAATTATCCACCAAAAACTTGAAATGGCGAGACAAGCGTTTTGCTCCAAGTGGATACTCCAATAAAAATGTCTGATAAATTGTCGCACAATTCAGACGCGCACTAGGAGAATCGCTCTGCACCAAAAGCTCCCCGACACGTAGCATCACATCGTACACTTCGCTCACTACCAGATGCGAGTTGACAATGGCTTTAAGAAGAGCAAATGTGGCATTTTGATGGTCCTGCTCGTCCAGATCGGCGCGCAAGAAGCTCAAGAGCACACGGAGCTGAGGCTCCGTAAGGCGTAAATTGTCTGCTTTGGATTTTTTGGCAGCGGATCCTTTTTCTACCAATTCTAGTCTCTGCTGCTGTCGGAGAAGCGCCGTCAGCGTGCGGTAACAGGTCTGCACCATTTCGTTGCGTGTTGCAGCTCCAGCCTGTTGCAAAATTGTGAAAATGCGATCAAGAAGCGGACTTCGGGCTATTTGTAGAGCAGGAAGTTCCTCCACACGGGGAAGCAGCGAGCTTAGGCACTTTAAGGCATTAATAACAGCGCGGTCGTTTTTCGATTCGCCTGTACATCGCAAAAGAAGCGGCACCAGTGGATCGATGAGTTGAGCTGGAACATTGACAGATGTATCGTTTTCGACATTTTGATCCTTCAAATTGCCGCTTTTGCGAAGAAATGAAAACATTAAGAAAATGCCGTAACTAAGTAGCTCCCGAATATGAGTCGTGCTCTCGGCCACGAGGGTGGCGATCGCCTCACGCTTCTGCTGTTTCGTTTTATTTTGCTGTTGTTGGCGCATCTTATCGAAACCAGTCATTTGCTGCTGCACCATGATGTGCGATGTCTCCCGTGCACTAGTCCGCTTGGCCAGTAATTTTGTGGCAGCAGCACTTTTCTCCGACACTAGCCAAGACGTCACAAATGCCGTATTGCAACCATCAGTCGCGTTAAGTTTAATTTCTTTCGCAGAAAGTGGCCGCAAGCTTTCAAGACTCGAGTTTAAAACGTTGTAGACATACAGAAACATATACGACAATTCTACGGAAGGGTTCTTTGCGAGTCCGTACGCCACGCGCTTTAGAGCCTCCTCTAATGCAGCTGTGGCCTGAGCCCCACCGTCTGTCGCCTGAAAGCGCTTTAGAATTGCACCAATGACTTCGTGAATGCCTGGATTGGGTAAGAAGGGAAGGGATCTAGCCAGCAGCTCAATTGAGTCCAAACTACGACCGCCACTGGCGCGTGCCTCTTTCATCTTGGATTTTTGAGCAGGCCCACGTTTCATGCAGTCAGTAGTAGCTTCAGCAGCTTCGCCAATCGATGTAATGCCCTGAAACAACTCTGCAACTAGAATTTCCATCACACTAGGCACACAAGCATCGAGTGGCGAAGCAAACTCCGCCTCATATTCAGCCTCTTGATCTCTGGATTGAGTTAACAGTAACGATTGAGGTTTTCGAAGTGCGTAGGCCTTTCCGTCTGACTTCATAATTTCTGGTAAATTTTCCAGTAGCGCATGCACGGTAAATGAAAGCACATGAACCATATAACCATCGCGCAGCGTGTGACGAAGTTCTTCTATAATCGGCTGCAGAAAGTCCGAACCAAGTTCCAACGCAATTCGAATAAGCGTCGTGCGGGCCGAGACACGTACAGCTTCATTTTTACTTTTGAGCAAATTTGCAACCTTTAGTAGCAACTTGGGCAGCTCACGCTGAAATGTTTCCACACGCAGTCGACGTAATACCTTTACGATTGCGAGGGCCAGCGGAACCCGCACTGAAAACGCTTCTTCCGAAATAGAGGTCGATTCTTCATTGTTTTCCCTATTTAGTCGCTTTTTCAAAATCACTTTCTTAAATAAATATGAATAGAGCATCGGAAGAACCTGCATCTCCATCTTGTCTTGTACCTTGTAAATATTTTCTTCTTCTACATCATTGCCGATGTTGACTGTGATATCTCTAGTATCAGCTTGAATTGTGTTGTCAAGCGCTGACGATTGACTCTGGATTGCAGCACTCGAAGAATCGAAGTGGAAATGATCGATCACAGCGCAGATTGCCATGATGATCGCCCCTTCCATCTCAGCATGACCATTTATCGACTTCAGCAACCGATGCAAAAGTGAAAGATAATGCGACCAGCCCAAAAGTCCAGCTGCGCTTCCAATGCATGCGGCAGCTTCAGCACGCAAGGACTCCTGGCTTTTGACGTGTGTTTCGTAAACAAAGTGTAGTACGAGTGGTAAAATTACACCATTTACTGTTGAGTTTGTAAACGACTGGGAATCTTCACTCTTTACCACGTTAGCAGAGTCCTTAGTTGTTGCCATCAAGCCCATGACACCGCTTAGACGCTGGAGAGCACGACGTCGGCGATGAACCTGAATATGTGTAATGTTGTAAAAAAAGTCGGCTTCAGGGTCCTTTTGGTTGCGCACCAAACACAAATCTGTTGGAATAAAGGCAAACGGCTGAAAGGCCTCACAGTGGTCCGCTACCGATCCCAATAGCGTCACAAATCCACGTCGAATATTCTCGTCGGACGAGCGGAGACTTGCGCGCACACAAGGCATCACCAACGACTCCAGGGCACTAAGAATAGGAGACTTTGATATATCTTTGCACGTCGCTTGCTGTTCGGCAATTTTTGCAGACAGTCCCAAGAAGGCCGTAAGACTAGCAAGTGCGCCGCTGCGCACTGAAAAGTCTTGGTCATGCATTGACTGCAGACACTGCGCTACAAGTGGAGCCAGCAAATGCGTCTCGCTCTTAAAATCAGCAAAGCACGACGAGTGTAAGCAGTTAAGCGCAATGAGGCGACGCTCAACGTCAGTCTCCTCGATGCGCTTGACATCATACGCATTGAGTTCAACCAGCAATTTTGCCACAGGAGCCAGCTCGGGTAGAGTAGCGTGCGAACCCAGCGCTGTAAATACCGCCACCAGCTTCAAACGGAGATCTCGACTAGCTATGCAGTTTGCACCCGGGGCCAGTAAACGCGCGAGGGCAAGCACGTGCTTCTTCGGCTCTGTTAGTCTGGGCACAATATGCGACAGCACATCCAGCAAGTTTTCCTTGTCCTTCATTGACGTCTGGTGGTTGCGCAATAAAAATGGCAACAACAACTGAAATAAGTCGTGCGCAGCAACTGCTATGTCTCCATCAGCATATTCCAAGAAATGAGAGAGACGACAGAGAAAATTAAGTTCCTTTCGTGATGACCCTGCATACCGATCGCTCGAGTACCGTGCAGCCTTGGCCTGGAAACGCTGAACAAACTGCTCCAATACAAACGGAATCTGGGGTATTAAAAGAACATGATTCTCTTGCGGGGAGACAGCGATCGGCTGGGCCGGATCTTGTCTCGACAAAACCTCTTCATCTCCATCAAGAAGCGAGTCCATAAATTGCAAGATCGCATCCAGGATGTTGGGTGAAATGCCGCGAGTGGGCGTAGAAGTCGCCCTTGAAGACGCTAAACCCGCGGACAGGCAGGAGATAATGTCGAGCATCAGCGGTTTAGAAATCCAGTAACGCGCTCGATCAGCACGAGCGAGTGTCACAAGCAGTTCTAGCAGTGCAGATGACTTGCTCGCGCCGAGAACCGCACTGGGTAAGTGTGTGATAGCGTCATGAGATGTTTCAAGCATTGCCACCACCCACGGTTGAAGGCACACGTGGGAATCAAACTAAACAAAACACATCGAATGTTAAAGAGATCAGACTTGACCAAACGCATGCAATTCAGTCTTTACCAAGTCAATCATTTGCGCAAACCGGCGGTAAGTCAACACACGAATCTGCTTCCTCAGTGAGGCAACAGTCGTCGTCGAATCCATATTTAAAACACCTTCCCGATCGTCTTGCTTTGACTCGGCCGCTAGCTCCGTGTCTTCGCCCTCAATGCTATTAGAGCCACTGATTTCCTCAACGTCAGAACAAACAATGTTGATGCGAAGAATAGCTAGCAAGACATCAGCAAGATGCGGCGCAAATGCGGCCAGCTTAACTCCAAGTTGAACTAACAGATCCTCCAGCAGATTCAAAAAGCCCAAGATACGTGAAGGTTGCACAATTGAAATTGCAACTACAGGTCTCACCTCAGTGGCAACCAAAGCACTTGTAGGGCCATCAATTGCCATATCGAACGCCCGCACCACCAATTCCACAAAGCTGGCAAGCTCAGATGCATCTAATGCCGCCAGGTAGGCTAGAATAGCAGCACGTCGAGCGGCCACTGTATCGCCATTGCTTCGACCCTTCTTGCTGACACATTTTGAGTACAAAACTCGCAATAATACCGGCAGAAGCTCTGAACGGTGTTCACGCAAAACAATGCTTTCATCTTTCCCAATCTTAAAATTTGCAAGTTCTTCACGAAGCGTAGACACGTCGATCAGTCGATTTAGATGGATCTTGTATGGGACGATAGCCTTACTTCCAAACGCGTACAAACACTGCAACGCCAGCTTTGAGACCACTTCATCCGATTTTAAGAGCAAATCAAAGAATAGATCGTGGAGCAGTTGCTGCGAATACGCGCCCTTCATATTGTGAAATGCCGCAAACAGCTTCAAGTGGTCCACAAACTTGCCACGCACTTCCTTCGTAGTCAAATCGTGAAACTCAACGCGCCGGTGCCAGTCCAGCAATGTTGAGTCATTGTTGCCTTCGAATTCTCCAAGTTTCCGCAGGGCTTGGTCAATCGCTTCAAGACGTTTAGCATTGAGCTCATCCGTGTAAATAGTGCTGTACTGATCACGCAAGAACGTCAGGAAGAGCGGCACCATAAACTTTGTCTTTGCCTCAACCTGGTCAGAAAACTTTACAAGTCCCTTCCAAAGGAGTGAATGGTGGGTAGCAGCATCTGTAGCATCAGTGTTGAGAGATTTTCCTTCCTCCAGCATACAAGCATACTCAAAATTCTTGACTACATCGCTTGCGCTGCTTGACTCTCGCTTCTCACAGGCATTTTCGTGTCGAAGAGAGGCTTTCAAAAGCTCAGCACGGATATACGGCCAGAAATCGTTAAAATGCAATCGAACAGCAGTCTCTACCGCCTCAGCAATGTGCGGCCAGATCGCGGAAAACTTTACATGATACAGACCGAGTAAATGGTTTATAGCAATCTTTTTGTAAGCTTTTGGGGTCTGAGGCGAGCGACACAAGACCTTCACACGCGTCAGTAGACGAATAACTTCGCGTTCAGTAGCCACTGAAATGCTTCCGCAGGAGAGCTCAAGGCTTACACAGGTTTCTAGTAAGTCGCATGGGCCGCTCAGACCTTCCTTGCCAGAGTCAAGAAAATCCAGGCGCTTGAACTTTGCGAGCAACTGCAACGTTACTAGACGTAACTGATGGGCAGGTGACCGTAGCGTAGCAAAAAAAGAGTCTGCTTCACAAATCAGCGCATCGATTGTCAATTCTTCATACTGTTCCCCTTCCTGAGTCATTTCAGCAAGCGTTAACAGAGTTGAGAAGGTCGTGAATGAACATCCATTTTCTTGCAGGGCCTGCTTTGCATACGAAGATGTCATGACTGAATTTTTACTCGCCTGATGCTGAGCAATTTGTTGCAGTTTCCACAGCTCAGCTCGCAGAGTTACAATGTGAACAGAAAATCCGATTTTCAAAATTTCATCGAGCTTTTGAATAATCAGAGTCGCAAAAGCAACAAGTTTTTCTTCATTTGTCCGTATGAACTGCAACGCCTTACAAAATTTCCAGCACACAGCCAAGCTTTCTGTATCCTGCGTTTCACTGCTGTCTCTGAATAATTTTCGACCAGCGTCAAATAGTATATCCTCCGCATATACATCAATCGGATCGAAGGAAAGCAGCCAGACGCAATTTGCGGTCTTTGATCGTACAATGTTTTTGTTCTGACCCTCACAAATGTCTCCTGCGTTTTTTGCAATGTATGCACCCAATTCGCACACCAGGGAGCAAAATGCAGTCACTTCGGTTCCTTCAAGAATCTTAAGGGCGTATTTCAGCGTACTATGTAGCAAATACTTGATTATAAATCGCACATCAATGTTGGTGTTGTGCAACTGCCGGATTACAAACTCCAATAACTTAGGACGCCAATATGCTTGCTTTTCGTTGTCATTCGAAGCTGCAAAAATGGCTTCTATCTGAGCAAATAATACATCATCATTCGGAGGAAACAGCCGCCATATCACTTCAAAAATTTGTAAATGCACATCGCTCAATGTAGAGCACTGAGAGGCCAAAATCTTATTTTCAGGGGCGATCAACGTATCGCAAACCTTATGCACGCTTGGCACGCGTACATCATAAGCATCACTTGCTCCAGTGATCAGCTTGCCCGTTCGCGAGATCATAAAGTCAAGCAAAATACGAAGTATTCGACTTATGTACAAATCATCTGCTTCTGTTGGAGTCAAGTCGGTTTCATGACGACAATTAATTTCCTTGGTACACACCGACACTAAACATTCCAATATCTCTCCAGAATGGTCTGCATCCGTATGTTGTAGCATAAGTCCAAAAGTCTGGTACACAATTTCAAACAAAGCTTCTTGCTGTTCAAAATACTTCATCGTCTCCTCTTGAGGGCGAAACGATCTGAGCAGGAAAAAAAACACGTCGCGCATTCGTGAGTGGAAGCCATTTTTTACATTTTTCATCAGCGCAAATAACAATTTGGCTGATCCATTTCGTAAAATTTCATTGCTGCATCCAGACCCTTTCATCAACGCTGTTAAATATGTGCGAAGATACTTTTTCAACGCTTTGGGCGACTCCAGGCGTCGCAATAGCACAGCTAATGTCTGTGCCGCAAAGTTACGAACAAATTCTCGAGGATGTCCAAGTAATGGAAAGTAGCACTTGTGCACTGCATCCATATCGGCAAGTACTTGAGCTCTTAGGTAACTAAATAGCATTGTAAGCGTCTTGAATACCTGCGTACTGAGCTCTGGGTCCTTTGTGTCGATCACTGCTACTATCATTGGTAAAGTATCAGCAAAATGTGGGTAAAATTCTTTTCCAAGCTCTCGTGCCAGCGCCGTAACAAGCTTGAGCACAGGAACCAACCGCTGTCGCTGCACAACAGGATCCTGCGCGTTATCACGCGCCTCATTCATCTCTTTCTGTAGCCTCTTAACTATACTCTGTAGGTGATGAAGCAGCTGTGGAGTAGTGATCACCAGTGGCTGCAACGAACGAAACAAGAGCTGGAAGCTCTCGATTGTCGTGAGCTCTGCCTGAAGATCAAGTTCCTCCTTAAACGAGAGCTGTGATGCCTCATCAGTCGCCCCTGTCATCTTTGCGTGCAGTGTGAGCTCATGCTGTAGGTTACACACACGCTCTGCAACCTTTTGGAAGCGATGGCGCCGCTTCTTGGTCGGTGGAGCTGCCATTTGATCAAAATGCGCGTTTTATAAGTTGCAGTGGTCTCACCGCCAGTCAATTGTAGCAGAAACGGGCCCAAATGAAGGAATATCGGTATCGATAGACGGAATTTTATCTACTTGAAATATGGTCCAGATTTCGAATATTTCTAAGAAGTCAATGCTTTTTGATTGTGTGAATAAAGAGCAATCCAACAGCGGTTGAATGCCCGCTTGTCATTAGTCGCAAACAATGGAAGAATCAAACGGTTATATGATTAGGTACCGAAGTGACTTACTACTAGGTACAACGGCAGCTCCAAAAGTCTCGTAACGCATTCAGCAAGGTATTAAATTGTTGAGGATAAACGATACGCTTTGGTTATCACATTTAGCTTGTTGTATTGAATTTATTTTTTAGCTTTACCTGAAGTACATAGTACTTGGTACTTAAGGGGGACGCGTTCACAGGGCGGCCTCAAAGACATCAATTTGACATTTGTCAGCGCAACTCTACGAGTCAAACGCTTCCTCTTTGCTAGGTACCATGGCAAGCCCGTTTCTAGTAAAACTTGCTGCCAAGTCGACGACCGAGACTCGAGAATACCGTATACATGTGAGGATGGAACGTGGAGACATGATAAGCCCCCGTCTTTTGCTGGAAACAGAGCAACAACGAGTCGCGCTAGAGATTATCAAACTAGAACGCTGAACGCAAAACTGAGCACCGATAAAACTCAGCACCGACAAAACTGAGCACCGACGTACGGACAGGTTGCGTAAACGGTATCACAATTTTGTCAGGGACCAGTAACAAACAAAAGAAAAGCGAAGACGCTTTGAAGGTAGGATACGTCGTATCACATAGGATTTTAAAAGAGTAATGGTAAAATGGATTTCGCTGGTATGATTTTAAGCTAGTTCACGTTTGTAGTATACTACTTTAAAGCTTACAGTTATCATGCGAATCAGTGCGAACTGTAAGAGTCGAAGCTTCCTATGTGCGAGGTGCTCGACAACCCAATGCAACAGTTACAAAAATCGTTAATTTGATGGTCGAGACATAATAAGACTGTATCATCAGTGAGGATGGATCGCAACATATTTAGCTATGTAACCTCAGGACAATCAGATACGCTTTGAAAACCTCCGTTTTATAGGTCGTTGAAAGTTAGCATATTTGGCTTCCCACGGGCCAAAACATGGTTATACCTCGCTTGTAGCCTCTCCCCAGCTCTGAAATGTGCTGGTGAGTTTCCCCGTGAATGTCTGAACCAGGTGTCCGTGGAAGTACAACAAACTCCTACAGTGAAGCTGCTCGTGCCAAACGTCCATATTTTTAAGGGAGGATATGGAAAGGTTCTATCTCAGGGTGAAACAGAATTGAATAATCATAAATCTAGCCGTGCTCCAAAATAAGCAGCAAATCATAACATGGGTTCTTACGCGCAGACGATTATCAACATGAGATTGTTTATGACCATTGTCGCGTTTGTTCGCACTGCCCAACCGGGCGTTCCGTGTGTGAGCAGAATTCTTACCCGCCCGTCATGGGAGGATGGACAGTATTACATAGATATGTCCAGAAACTGATAGCTTCTATGGCCGGGATGATGACAAATTCTCTTCCGGAACGATAACCTTTATCTTTATCATAGAGTGCTAGCGGCTCGCGTCAATTTTTTTCACATCCGCCTTGTCTCTTTAGAGAAGGCGGTGAGCTTTGCATTCAAACAATTCTCAGGGTGCGAAGCCCAGCTGTGAGCGGAAGGTTGATGCTCTTTGAGCGCCCAAGCAGCGATGGATCTCGGTCAAAAGAATCGGTAACTTAGCTGCAGAGCGCTTGCAAACGCAACTGTAACGCTATCAATTCTCGCAATTCTGCGTGCCCTCGTTTCCCTTGATCAGGGGTTCGTGGAAAGAACGTAAGGGTGACCTTAACTTAGCTTTCTCTCAGCAAAGAGCTACGGCAGACCGCTGCACTTATGAGCGAAAATTTGGTCTGTGCGTAAGCACAAATGCGGTCTATACTGCTGTATCACCAAACATTCAATTGTTGCTGGTGCGTACGAATCCTCGGGAAGCAGCCAGCCACTTTTGATCCTTCTGCTGAAAGACTCATTATATTGAACTGGATAACAAGATTTTACATCAAAAGCCGATAACATGACCGTGGTGCAACCAACCCGTGGCACTCTTTTCTAGGAATGCGTTTTTGCACTGGAAGCTTGCCTAGAACGAGCCTAATGCAACCACGCGCAACTTGTTTATTACCGTTAGTCTCCCTGATGCAGAAAGTCAGCGCCGAGTTAGAATACGGACGCAAAATCCGCCAAATCTACTGCGTGTATTGCACAAAGCTTTTTTGATACGTCAGTATTCCATGAATAGGGCCACCGCATGTGAGTCCTATTAACCATATCAATCTCTTGACTAACTCGTCGACTAGACGGCAGCATTTGTGGAGGTCTATCGTCAGCATGTCTTCCCACTCCTTCAAAAATTAATGAAGAAGATCCATAGGATCTTTGATGATTTTCGATCCGACCCATAGCACTCAGTTCATTGTGAGTATCATTGATGACTCACTCAGCTACACTAAGCTCATCCTCTGGTTCTGGCCATACCAATTCGGTGATTAGAAACCCCAGGGCGACTTCTGGAGCTGATCGAGAGTTTCTTTGGTGAGAAGACTCAAATCTCCAAGTATGGTCTTCTACTATGTTTACGACCGCAAGCACTCTCGCGCTACAAAAATGTGTGATTTCAGAGCTTCGAAATGTAGGAAAGTCATGCCGTAATGCCAGCTCAGTTGTTCAAAATCGAGATTGTATTTAATTGTTTTAGTTGTGGCAGAGCCGCCAATATCTAAAACCATAGGATTACCGAATTAATATAGAAATACCTAATAAATATAGTAATACCTAATTACTAAGGTAATTTGCACTACTACTGGCAATCCGGCCACGTTAATTACGGTGTAGCCACACCACTATGTCATTTCACTAAGTTGTTGAATACACACCTATGTCCCGTCGCACAATCTGATGCGACACGCCCTTTTATGGACACAATCTCCCTTCATTAAAAGTGTGAATATCCCCAATTCCACATTTGACGGTCGCCTCATACGACGCTTGCGTGTCTGAGACACTTTAACGTTTTTTTAAAAACAATTTTGAACCTACTCCGCTTCATGAGCCCTATGTCTACGACACGCAGAACACCCAGCCTCGCAGGCGCCGTGGGGGCGCCCGTGGGCAAAGACTTTCTTCTTCATCATCTAAAGCATCGACGCTGCTATCCGTGCTGCGTACATGTTCGACGCAGACTGTGTGGCGCTAATGAAAATTTTGCTTTGCATGGGGTAATCGATCTAGACAACGCTTGACCTAGAGTGATGGAAGCGCAATTACACCGCTAACTTATGTCTTGATGTCTGCTGCGCTCTAGCTCGATTAAACTATACACGCAACGTATGGATGTTCTTCATGTCCAGAACTACACAGGGTGTACCTTCGGACAGTACGTCCACGGCTTCACGGAAAGCCATTCCAAGACCTCGGCAACTCGGCGCCACACGACGCGACGAATTTCCTCGTCGAGGAATTGGAGGAAGCTGACTACGAGTCGGACACTCCTTTCTTAGCATGGGATGACGAGGAAGATGAAGTGCGCCAACGGCGCAACGTGAACCCAGCTCAAACCCTGCGGACATCATGTCCATTCCCCCAACCTCTCGGTTTCTGGGGGGAGAGGTATTATTACCAATCACCTCGACGAGACACTGGAGCAGCAATTGGAGGCTGCTCACAGGGCGGCCCTCCTGCGCTCGTATCCACGTTCGGTCTTAGACCCTCGTCTGGAATACGACTTCCGATCCGCAGATTACTGAAGCGAAAGACGCGATCACTCGATCGTTAGGCGTCTAGGGCCTCCGGCCACTACAAAAGCTGAGCTTGATCAACAAACATCTGCGAGTTCGCTTTTTGGCACCTCAAGAGGTCCTAATGGATCAGTGCCGCGCTTGACTTCGAGCTCTAAAAGGAGGTGCTAATACGGGTCATTCCTGTCGCGCTCGCCTCAGGCAAAACCGCTGCAGATGATGATGAGCTCTTTGAGCGATGGTGGCAGCGGCACCGAAAGTGTCTTCGCTGTCTACCTTACGGTGAAGCCACAAAAAGTGAGCGTGCGCGTTGAGCGCCACTTTAATTTTAGATTTGAGTTTGTCAAACTCAAGTCACAGCGCCGACCTCCTGCATATTGTCGATCTGTGACATTTAGAACAATCTATAACGCCCCTGCGAGCTCTGTGGTTTCTCACACGGGCGGGTCTACGACCACAGTAGCTCAGGGCCAACCTAGAGCTCAATTCATGGCCCTGAGGTTTCCCGAACTACTGCTTAGAGGCGTAGTGCGCAAGACGACGCGAAGCGTCATGATCCTTCTGACCATGACCGTCTCCGACGTCTGGGTATTCTTGCCGAAGTGGCGCCTCATACTCCTACGATTTCTCGAAGTTTTGGTATTCCCGCCACTTCACAAATCATTGGGTTAAACCCCCGTCGATGACGTCGGCCCATAAGGCTTTCCACGTGGTAGTGGATGCCAACATTCTCATCGAGGAGAGTCGGCGGTGGACGGTGACTCGCGATGCTCTTCGAGCGTTTGATGACAAAGCTCGTCGTATCGGCACTCTGCCGAGCATGTTTTCGAGGTCGCCAATCGCTGTGCGGAAGACCTCGAGAATCCGGAGCGCTTTGTGCACCGACTGCTTCGCGTTGAAGATTATCGTGCTCTGTCGGAGCGGCTCCTAGCCATCGAGCAGGAAAATACGTAACTTTGTATGACGGTGGAGCACTTTGCGCCGTTGGAAACGGAAGTTGTTGCACTTCATGCTCAGAACCAGTTGCTGGTTCAACTTCTGGGAGGCCGAGCGCCTTTGGTCGGCGCAAGTGAATGCGGAAGTGTGAGCGCCACACCAATGCTTCCGCGTTCACTTGCGCCGGATTTCGGTATGGCTTAAGCAAGCCCACATAAAACACTGGGTGGTGCGCATACTTCTCGAAAGGTTCAACGTATACGCTAGGCCTCGTTTAACCACGATCTTAAAAGGTCCAATAAATTGTGGACGAAGCTTCGTCTTAAAGACAGCAGAGGCTGCATGTGTAGGAAGGGTTTTAGTATCTAATAAAACCAGGTCTCCGACCTCAATGTTTTCAGCATTTCTTCTTCCTTTTTTGTCCGTATATTCCTGCTGCATGTGTTGGCATTCAGCTATCGCATCGCGAACATGTCGTAATACACTCAGTCTACTCGACAGGAAATCTTCGCACACGGTGAGGGTGGGTGACATCAGCTAGCCGTTCGCTATTTCTCCCCCACCAAGCCGTGAGCCATGGATGGCGGCGTCAGCGGGGCCGAGGATTAATAAGCCCGCTCACTTCAAACGACGTATAGCCGGTAGATGAATGCAACGCAATGTTCGGAGCAAACTCTACGAGTGGCAACATAGCGCTCTAGCGCTTCGGCGTCTCAGCGCAGACGCTGCAAAGAACGTCTTCGACGACGCGATTCAAGTGCTCAGTCTGAAAAAATGGCCCGCTGTTGGCATCGTCAACTTGGTGTCCAGACCCCTGAAATGTGTAGACTAAAACTTCCCAGTGAAGCCTGGGTCCATATCAGAGACGATTTACTAGTCCATGTTGTCGAAAGATACGATCGACAAACAGCCCACACCGTCGGTTGGTGTTCGGCACTGCCGTAAGATGAGCCATCTTACTCATGCGGTGTACAAAGACCACTTCACCCGTGTTGACTGCCGAGTCTTCCGGCGGCCAAACATAAAGTCCATGATCATGGACTACCAACACCCGGGGGATAACGGTAAACTGGCCAACGGCGCCGCCGTATTCGGAGAGGGTTTTACTGTCTCACACGTGCGCACATATGTGCTCGTCCACTTGTAGAGCTTAAGCCACCGATAGTGGCAACTCACCGAACTGTACGTCTTCTCACGACCGAGCTGACCTGTCGTAGGCTTCATAGAGGACACGACGTTTCAAATCCTCGTCGCGAGAAACCACAACTCGTGACGTTTCCGTTGAATCGGTGCTATAATACAGCAAACCGTTACTTAACGAATATCGGTGTAATCATGCGCGCAAACGCGCCGACAATTTCTTGTCCGAGTTGCCGGACTCCTTGCTCCCTAGAGCCCGTAGCAACGCTACACACATCCCAGCACCCGCATACGCGGTCCGGATCAAATCCGTCACAGACGACGTTACAGTTGTCACATGAGCAAGA